ATTACTTCATATATATTATTCAGACCTTTGGGAACTCTGCTAGAATTACAAATAATCCGGAAGAATTATATTATCATAAACGCGCTGTTAATAAAAACATTGAACTATGAGATATTACATGAAACGGAAATAATGAAACGTTATAGTGTTTTAGAAGGAATCGAATCCCAGCGACTGGGTCGGAAATTAATTTTCCTAAGCAATATAACTTTCCATTGTTTCCATTTATTGACAATATAGCCTATAGTATCAAATAAAATATGGTCGACTCTAGTGTGGACTTGTTAATGTGTCAAGGATCTTACACATCTCAAAACCAATCAACACTGCATTGTGCACATATCTGATTTCAAGAGAAAATTAAACGAGTATGTAGATCACAGTGATCAATAGCATCAGGTTTAAAAAACTCATGCCCAACTGATACACATGAAAATACATATGACCAGCATTATTCTGACGGATAGGCCTCAGGCAGAACGCCGAATTAATTAATTTGCTCAAATTCTGAAACAATGATGAAATTCTTTTGTCCCTGACAAGTCAATAAAATTCAATTTGTAACAAATATCTTATCTTTGAAAGGAGAAAAGAAGTAGAAATTTTTAAATAAATAAATTCGGAAAAAGTAATATAACTACTGATGAATATTTGGACCGCGTCGCATAAGGAAATGCATGAATTAGAAATAGAACGCGTTGTGCTACATGAATCATAAACTTGCAAATTACTTTAAAAAGAAACTTAAGTGCTGTATTTGCCTTTAAATATTTATTTATATTATATTTGTTTTTATATATTTACCGTAGACAGCAGGATTCCAAAGTTTCATGGAGATAGCTCATAAACAGTGAGTGAGAGATTCGTCCCCCTCCTGGCTTCGCAATCTTCGAGTTAAAAATGTTAGAAATTATTTCTTTTTTTTTGTTTTCTTTCCTTTTAACTAAAATATATTTGTTCCTATCATATCTATTTTTTCCTGTTGATTTTTTTGTTTTATTCACGAGTCATTTTTATGACGAAAAGCCTTATGGGCCTCTCGCCATTATGGCATTGTGTAACCATCCAATTGTAGCAGGCGTTCCTTGCGAGTCCTTGATATGTTTAGGTCGAAAACAGAAAATATCTAGAGAAAAAAAACAGCAACAACAAAGTCACAACAGCAAAGAGCAATAATAAAAGAAATAGAAAGAAAGAAAAAAAAAAAGAAACAAACGAAAAAGAAACAATAAACAAGCAAAAAAGAGAAATTCCAGCAGCAGGACTCGAACTCACGACATTCACTTCAGGACTGAGATGTAACCCCCCCCGGCATACATAAAAATGATGAAAATAAAAAAAAAGAAAAAGATGGGACGATTCCCCCGAGACATTCAATGAAGCTGAGGCGTCGAATCGACTTACGTTACGGTTAGAGATTTCGGCTCTTCCACGCTATCCCGAGTGGACATAAAACTTAGTCTTAACCAAAAGGCCAGGGAGTGAGGGGGTAGCCGCCCACTAGAGCATACCTTTAGCTACCCTCTTAGACCATCGTACTATGAAGACACTTATAGATATCTAATATCTAATTGGGGTGGTCTATTCGGTGAAGCTCTATGCTAATATATGACGTCACCAAAATCCTTAGGGAGCAGCGAGCCAATCAGAGCTTAGCTCAGGAATTAGCAAACGATCCAGGGTTTGCATAATCATTTTTCAGTGGATAATTATTTGATGGGGGTGGGGATGGGTGCTAAGTGCCGGTTTGCGGCCGAATACCGATGTACTTGATGAACTGTGACGGTCTTAGTTGTTCAGTTGTTGTTTTCCAAATCATAACTGGAAAATGTGTACAGTTCCGTATATCAGACAGATTTATAACTAGTGATGCATGTGGATAAATAAACAGCAAGACAAAAATCTATTGAAATTCCACGTAAGTGGTTTATAGACCAGGTAGGTACYAGCCGTTGTCCAAGATTTACACATTTTCGTTCTTGATGATATAAAAGTTTACAAATGGATTAATGTTGGTTATCAAATAGTATTAAATACTAAATATAGTGAATGTTAATAACTGTAGATGATGAATGATAATCCGTCAGAAATGAAGCAAAAGTTATCAATTTTTCAGTATTATTAAACTATAATCAGGCGAATAAGATTAATTAAGGGTTTGAACAACATAAGCATTTTATCAAAGTAAACGTAAAGTAAACGAGAATTTATCATGAGTTTATGGCAACAGATACAGAAAGACGGTCTTTGACTGCAGCTAGATTAAGACTCTAAGGAACCTATATCGGATG